GCACTTATTGACTTGATATGACTTAAAATCCTGATTCTCCCATTTAAGTTCACAACCGAGAACAAATCACTTAACTAATCTGAGACTAGTTCATCTATTAGTTGGAATAATTATTCTAGGTTTATTTTGAGGAAAGTAATTTGTATACCCTACAAGTATAACTAAACCTCTGCCTGCCTCAGTTTCCTCAGCTCTAAAATGGGGACAATAATAGCACCTACCTCCCAGCACTGTTGTGTGGTTCAAATGAGACAATATTTGTAAAGTGTTTAAAAGTACTTGGTACATAGTAAAAGCTTAATAAATGCTTGTTCCCTTCTCTCCGTTACAGGAGTAAGCCATTATTAAGCAACAGATTTCCTGGAAAATTACGGAAATCTACATGTTATAAATCAAACTGTATTTTAAATTTAAGGAAGTTCCCTATTCTAAGAAATTCTATAATGAATCTTTCTACAAAGTGAAATATAATCCAGTACTATCTGTTTTCTAATTCCTGACTTTCATATGTAGTTTTCTCAAAGTGATGTGTACCTCTACTTTTCAAAGGTGCCTGTACTATAATCACAGAGGCACCAAAGAATGCAAAATGGAATGTTCTTATAAGACATAGGAACAAACATGAACTTTTAAAAAAACCTACTCTCTGGACTGTTCCACAGGATTTATATTCTTTTTTTAAAGAAAGGAAGGAAATAAGCATTTATTAAGAGCTTAACATGTGCCAGATGCTGTGCTATTTAAACAATATGTAGAATGATAATAACTCATAGTTTATTTTGTAACCTTGCTGCCTGGATCCCCATCCTTGTTGGACTTTGTAATTGTAACCATGCCCCCAGCTCCCATTAAATGCCATTGCTTTTGTTATTTTTTTAATAAGTTACTTTGATAAATTCTGATATTTTTTATAAATTTATATATTTTTGCAAATAATTTCCCTGTCAAAAATTAAAAGAAATAATGTATTACCTACACTTCCAGTCTTGTCTTCTCATCCTCTTGCTAAACCAGTGGTCCAAAGTACATTATTATTAGAAATTACATCAATATCCTATCATGTCCAAAAAATGAAATCACAGGATCATAGATTTAGAGTTGGAAGGGACCTTAAAGGCCCCTTGCTTACGTCCCTATAAGCAATCCCCACAGCAATGAAATAACAGATACAGGCTAAAAAAGAAATTATTCCTACTATTATTAAATGAACAGTATAAGGCAGGTAGATCTACAATGATTCTACATATGGAGCTGGAACTATATAGGAAGGATGAGCATTGATGTGTGCTACCCATATTTTAAACATTGTTGCCTGTTCAACATTGTTGAACATGTTCAAATTGCCTGTAAAAAGAATCAAAATATGTCAAATGTACTAGAAACTAACTCTTTAAAGAATCCAACCCTCTCATTTTATATATGAGGAAAGTAAGGCCCAGGAACATTAAATGATTTGTCTATGGACAGGCAGGTGTTAAGGGTCAGAGGTGGGATTTGAACCCAGGTCTTCTCCAGAGACTGTGTGTGCTCTTTCTCTTTCAACGCTAGCTTTATCTTGTGGTAAAACACAACAAAACCAAATAGTATGGATAAAAATGAAGCACTGAAGTAAAAGTCTTAATCACCTTCTTTCTTCCTTTTGTGGCAGTGGTAAAAGATAATCCAATTTTTTTTTTCAATTTTCCATACACAAAGGGAAAAATTAACCAACTCTACACTGGCAGCTTCCTAGATGCGCATGCGAGACCATCTCACCCAGTGAATCAGGTACCTCTGTGCCAAGGGCAGAGGCACAGGCTTCTCTGAACACCATTAATTCCATTCCATTCATATCTGCCAGCATGCATTTCATCACAGATCCACCAAATTCCCAAACTGACTATCTTGCATCCATTTTCTAGTCTATGGCAGATTGTTGAGGGTATTGGCCCTTAGTAAACATTTATGATTCTGAAGATTAAGGAATCCTCCTCACATATCTAATTTTAGCCCAGCTGTTGGTTATTTCACCCTACAACCAATAAGCCTCTCCTGTTAGAGAGAGTGAATGCTTGGGTTTTCTGGTAAGGTAAGTTTCCACTGAACTAAGCAAGACCAATATCACTGGCTTTTTACCATGCTATGGGTAGCACACATCAATGCTCATCCTTCCTATATAGTTCCAGCTCCATATGTAGAATCATTGTAGATCTACCTGCCTTATACTGTTCATTTAATAATAGTAGGAATAATTTTCTTTTTTAGCCTGTATCTGTTTTTCATTGCTGTGGGGATTGCTTATAGGGATGTAAGCAAACTCACTTGACCACATAAATTCTAATCTTCAACAGTTGCCTGGGGATGCTGAGTATAATTAACTTAGTCCAGTTCACATGGGTTGTCTAAAGATAAGAATTTGGGATTTTACTGAAATTCCCTGGTGAGGAAACTCCATCTACCAATGCATACTGGCACTTTCTCTGTAGCTTCTAGTCTTTTTTTTTTTAATTAATTTATTTATCTTTAGTTTTCAACATTCACTTCCACAAGATTTTGAGTTCCAAATTTTCTCCTCATCTCTCCCCTCCCCCCACCCCAAGATTCTGTGCATTCTGATACCCCTTCCCCCAATCTGCCCTCCCTTCTATCACCGCCCCCTTCTCTTATTCCCTTCCTCTTCTATTTTCCTGTAGGGCAGGATAGATTTCTATACCCTATTGCCTGTATACCTTATGCAGCTTCTAGTCTTAAAGTGATGCCTAGGACACTGAGGTTAAGAGGTAAAGTGATGTGCCCAGAGTGAAATGGTCAGAATGTGTCAGAGGTAGGACTTGAATAAAAGTCTTCTGACTCCTATTCCAGTATACTATGTTGCCTCCCCACAAAGACAGTATAGGTCAGAAATGGAACTTGAACCAAAGTCTTCTTGACTCTAAAAATGGCTCTCTAGTAGCAGTAATAGTAAATAATAAAACCTGAATGTTGAGTTATCCAGTTGGCATTTTCCTAGTAAGAGAAATGTCAATTTAAAAAAAAATCAAAATATGTCAAATGTACTGGAAACTAACTCTTTAAAGAGAACATCTTTAAAAGTAGATAACCACACTATAATTACATTCACAAAATACGGGCTTATTATGTGATAAATGAATGTAATTTACATAATGTTTCATATATCCCACACCTGATTTTCTAAAAACAAGGTATAACTATTGAACATTGCTATGTTTAGCAAAAGCTCCTAATGAATTACTGACACCTTGTGGCAAGAGCTCATGAATTCATGCCTCATAGTCATTGGTTATACTTTGTGGCATCTTTCATGACCATAGGATTCAAGCTGTAAGCAACCTGATAGGATCATCTAATATCCAATGCTTTCATTTTACAAATGAAGAAACTGAGGGGCAGAAAGATAAAGGAACTAACCCATGATTACCTAGGTAGCAGAGTCAGGATTTCAACCACAAGTCTTCTGACTACAAATCCCATGTTCTTCTACTACTTAACAACACATTCAATCCAGTCCAATCCAAACCAACTCTAAGAAAAACCAGCAAATATTTCTTATGCACCTACTATATGCAAGGCAGTATTTTGCCATTACAAAGAGGAACATTGGCTCTCACAGAGTTTTCAATCTTAGGAGGGGAACGATAATAACTATGATGCAAAGAAGAATCAAATAAGAGCAAAGGAAAGCCAAGCAAAATGTCATGACAAATATAAAGTGGGAAAGATAGCTTTCACAGAAGGACATCAGAGAAGGCTGTGGAGAAAAGTTGTGTCTGAGTTGGGACTTAAAAGAAGAGAGGGAATAGGTCATGAAGAGGCTATTTTCTTGTGAGGAGCAGTGAGTGTAAAGGCACAGTAATGTGAAAGAAGAGGAGAAAAATATGGAAACAAAAGTAAAGCACTTTGGCTAGTATATTGCTTTATGTTTAGAAGAGTCACATGAGACTAGAAAGGTAGGTTGGAATATAGTTGGAGAGGGCCTTCAATTTTACTGTATTTTAAAAAAAAGAAGATAAACATTTTTTAAGAGCTTATCACGTGCTGGGTGCTTTGCTATTTAAATAATATGTAGAATGATAATTCATAATGATTTTGATAAATTCTAAACACATAATTTTTTTTTTCTAAATTCACATTTTTGGCAAATAACTTCCTTGTAAAAAAATTAAAGAAGTAATGTATTATCTATATTTCTAGTCTCGTCTTCTCACTTTCTTGCTAAACCCAGTGGTACAAAGGATATCACTCTCAGAAGTTCCATCATTATCCAACAATGTTCAAAAAGTGAGCTCATAGGACCATGGAAAGGGCCTTCAATTCAACAAACATTTATTAAACTCTCTTATGTTCCAGACAGATGAGTTCATTTTCCAATTCAACCAACACTTATTAAACTCCTCTAAGTACTTTGAATATGGCATGTTTAATAAGTGTCAGTTTAATTGGAAATTCAAAGGACATGCATGGAAATAAAAAGACAAAAATTAAAGTCCCTGCTCTCAAGTTTACCTTGTGCTAGAGTGGGGGAGAGGGGAAACTGGAAAAGAGGGGAGGAATGGAAATGTTGGCAACCCTACGAAGTTCCCGTAAGAGACGAAGCAGACAGCGCAGAGAGCACAGCAAGCGAGCAGGAACACTAGCACGTGGCCGGAGAGAATGAGAACGAGGCCTCTGCTTACTACGCCTGCGCAAGCCCCGGAGGCGTGGAGTGGAGACTGGAGTGAAAACCAACAAGGTTGGCCAAGTCACCCGGAAGTGACGCGCGGTAGGGCGCCCCGCCCCTCTCCCCTGACTCCCGGGATTGCTTACCTTGGAGACACCGGGCGGAAGACAGAACTCTGCGTTGCCGAGCAACCATGCGGGTCGCTACAGGTGAGCATTGTGCGGCATCCGCAGGGTCACTGGAGTGGAGCGGAGCCCCGACCACCTGCCCCGGCCTCTTTACGCTCCGTCCGGCCCACTTTCTGTGGCCACTGAGCTTCTGCTCGTGGCACCACTTGCAGCTCGTGGGGCCGCCCAGATCGACAGCCTTCTACTGCTTCCCAGTCAAGCCCATCGACCGGTCGGCGGCCTACCCCCGCCACAATGACCTCCACCGTGGCCGAATCCAGCCCCAGACCCGCCGGCACCTACACCTTCTCCAGCCGGCCCCGAGCCCTGCCCTGCCAGCGCCGCCGCTACCGGGAGTGCTTCGGGTCGTCGTGAGTAACCAAGCCCCCGGCTCTTCGCCTCCCCCTGCCTCCCAGCCCCCAGCCAGCCTCCTCTCCCCCCTCCCCCCCGCCTACCTTCCACGTGCTTCCTCCAGAAACACCTAGGAAGCTCCAGGCCCTGGGGAGTGGCAGGGGATGCAAGTCAACAAGCAATTATTAAGCGTTTACTGTATGTGCCTGTCACTGGGCTAAGTGTCGGGGATGCAAAAGACTTCCTGCTCCCGAGGAGTTTGCCGTCCGATGGAGAGACAACATACAGACAGCTGTAAACAAACTAGATATATATGGAATAAATTGAGGATAGTTCAGAGGGAAGGCGCTAAGATTAAGGAGGCCTGGGAAAGGCTTATTTGTAGATGAAACTTTACCTGGGACTCAAAGGCAGCCAAGAGGTGGAAATGAGGAGGGAAAGGGTTCCAGGTGCAGGAGACAAGGCAGCCCGTGGAAATGCAAAAAGTGAGGAGATGATGAAATATCTTGTCAGAGGAACAGCAAGGAATCCAATGCCAGAAAATTGCAGACTAGCCCTATATAAACCACCTAGTATTATTTATTGCAGCATGGGATAAAACCCAGGGCTTGGGACCAAGAAAAGAACCGAGGACAGGGTTCAAGGCCAGTCTCTAATATATGTTAACTATGTAACCCTGGGTAAGCCACTTGGTCTCTTTGTGTTCAAGACAACTCTAAGGCAGAGGTTCTTAGCTTCTTTGTGTCATGAACCCCTTTGGCAGTCTGGTAAATCCTGTGGACCCCTTCTCAGAATGTTTTTTTTTTAAATTCATAAAAGACATAGGATTACCAAAGAAACCAATTGTATTGAAACATGGTTATCAAAATATTTTTTAAAAACCAAGGTCACAGACCCCAGATTAAGAACTCCTTCTTTAAGACTTTAAATTACAGAAAAAAGTACTGACCTGCAAGAGTATTTTCCTACATTCATGAAATCACAGGTCCAGGCCCTATAAGATATAATGAGGGAGAAACAACATGTATACAAATTATCATAATAGGAGAGACCATGGCAAAAATTTAAGAAAGAAGAGATTCATTTTCCCCAGGGTAATTTGGAGTAAGGTCCTTGAAGAAGGAAGAAGTGGTCTGAGTTGGAGCATAAAAGAACAGGGGAACATCAGCAGACAAATTGAGGGGGTGGTGACCCTGTCCCAAATGTGGTAACTGGTTTGAGCCAAAGAGATAAGAGCAGGCAGAATGGTAATGAGGAAACTTGGAGCATTGTTCAGTTTGTCAAAAACTTGGAATATGTGAAGAGGAAGTAAGAGTAAAGTTGGTTATACTGCTGAATTGAGAGAGTAGCCTACTAGGTAGATGTCAGGCACTGTTCTGGGAACTGGAGATACAAAGACAAAAACAAAACAGTCCCTGACCTCAAGGAGTTTACAATCAATGGGAGAAACTTGGTTACATATATACGTGTAAGTAAATGCAAAAGTCAGTCAAATATCATTTTTTTAAGTGCGTATTGTATGCCAGGTGCTGTGTCAAGCCCCAGCCCCCTCCTACCTTTCCAGCTTTCTTGCACCATAGTCCCTACCACGTAATCTTTGATCCAGTGACACTGGCTTCCTGGCTTTTTCATGCACAAGACATTTTATCTCTGGGCAGGAGACATTTTCTCTGGCTGTCCCTCACATCTGCAATGCTCTCCCTCCTCTACTGCAACTACTGACCTCCTTTAAAGTCCCTTAAAGTCCCAAATAAAATTCCACCTTCTATGGGAAGCCTTCCCCTACTTCTCTTAATTCCAGTGCCTTCCCTCTTTCATTTATTTCCTATTTATCCTTTATATAGTTTGCTTTATATGTATTTGCTTGCCTGTCATCACCCCCATGACATTGTAAACTCTTTGAGGGAAGGGACTGTCTTTTCCTTCTTTTTTGTGTACCCAGCCCTTAGCACAGGGCCTGGCAAATAGTAGATGTTTAATTAATTTTTGTTGTTGAGTCATTACAGTCTGTCAGACTTCTTGTGAGCACATTTGGGATTTTCTTGGCAAAGATATTGGAGTGGTTTGCCATTTCCTTCTCCAGCTCATTTTACTGATGAAGCAAACAGGGTGAAGTGACTTGCCCAGGGTCACACAGCTAGTAGGTGTCTGAGGCCAGATTTGAACTCAGGAAGATGAGTCTTCCTGACTCCAAGTCCAGAACTCTACTAGGCCACCTAGCTGCCCCTTAATTAATGTTTATTGATTGATTATTCTTAAGGAGCTAAGTCTAATGGGAGAGACCATGCAAACAACTGTGTACAAACAGAATTTATGGAGATAATCAACAGAGGGTAAGGTGCTTGCAGTAAGGGGTGTGGGAAAAGGCTTCTTGCAAAAAGTGGGACTTGAGCTGAGGCTCAGAGAACCAGGGAAGGGAAGAGCAGAGATGAGGAGGGAGAAAATTTCAAGAATGGAGGACAGCCAGTGAAAATGCCAAGGGTATAGAGACAGAGTGTGTTGTATGAGGAATAGCAAGGAGGTCAGTGTCACTGGATCAAAGTATGTGAAGAGGAGTAAGATGGAAGAAGACTGGAAAGGTAGAGGGCGAGTTGGCTGTGAACAGCAGCAAGATTTTACATTGGATCCTAGACGTAATGGGGAACCACTGGAATTTATAAAGTAAGAAGGTGATATGGTCAGACCTGAATTGGAATGGGGGAAAGACTTGGGGCAACAATAACGAAGTCAGAAAGGAGTGTATGATTAGGGGGCAAAGCTTGACTTTAGACACAGTTGAGATGTTGGTCAGAAAACCAAGTGTTTAAAAGGCAAGATGGAATTTCCGGAGTTAACTAGTTTTGAGAGTTATGAGTGTTTTAGAAACACTGAATCTTTTTGTGATAGGCATAGTATCTGTTCTTTCAAATATTTATCTCTAGGTTTTCTTAAGGTGGGGCATCTTTGTTTGGGAAGGTTTATTTGTCTGGTCTGGTGTTTCTGCTCTTTGAAATAAGCAGCAGGATGTCTTTGGAATTTAGATTTTGAGCTGAAGGGAACTTTAGAGGTAATCTCATCTAGCCTCACTTTATAGGGAAGGAAATCAAAGTCCACTGGTGATGCAAGAGCTGCCAACTGTACCAGAATTCAGTATTTTGGCCCTAAGAAAAGAACACTCCTAACACTAGAGATCTTAACCTAGGTATGACTCCTCACTGTCTCTCATCTCTGTTCCCCCTACTCCAAAATATCTAATCCATTGCCAAGTCCTGTCCATTCTACCTTGGTTATATCTCTCATATACACCCTCTTCTTTCCTCTCACACTGCGCTGGTACAGGCTTTCATTCCTTCATGCCAGGACTACTGCAACAGTCTGCTGCTCCATCTCCCTGACCTGAGTTTCTCCTCACTCCAGCCTCCATTCTTCTGTTAGATTGATCTTCCTATAACTCTTTCAGTGTCAGAGAGGGTGATTAACCGTTACCCCTCCTGGTCAGTAAATTCCAGTGTCTCCCTATTATCTCCAGGAACAAATGCAAAGTCCTCTCTTTGGCTTTTAAAGCCCTACATAATCTTGTCCTTCCTACTTTTATAGTCTTCTTGTATTTTACTCCCCTGTAAGTATTGAGGCAGCTAGGTAGAGTAGTGGTTGGAGCCCTGGGTCTGGTGTCAGGAAGACACAAGTTCAAACCCTGCCTCAGATGCTTACTATCCGTTTAACCCTGGGTAAGTCACTTAACTTCTGTTTGCCTCAATTCCCTCATCTGTAAAATGGGGATAAGAACAGCACCTACCTCCCGGGGTTGTTGTGAGGATCAAATGAGATAATATTTGAAAAGGGCTTAGCCCAGTTCCCTAGAACATAGCAGGTGCTTAATAAATGTTTATGGACTGACTTACTGACTTGTGAGCAGGCACAGTTTTTGCCATTCTTTGTATTAGTAGTCCTTAGCTCAGTGCCTGAGACATAATTAGCACCTGATTAATGCTTGTTGACTTGTTGACTGGACTCCTTCTTAGAAAAATGTTTTAAATTTTTAAAGTAAAATACATGGGATAACAAAGGAAGCCAATTATATTGAAATACAATTATTAGGATTAGAAAAAAACAAAAACAAATTCATGAACCCCACATTAAGAATCCCTACTTTAGGAGGCAGCTAGATGGCACAGTGGATAGAGTACCAGCCTTGGGCTCAGGAGGACATGAGTTCAGATCTGGCCACAGAGACATAAAAATGTTTACTAGTTGTGTGACCCTGAGCAAGTCACTTAACCCCATTACCTAACCACACAAAAAAAAAAAGAATCCCTACTCTAAGAAATCTGTAGTCTAAATTTTTAAATAAGCCTGTTTTTTAGTGAAAATAGATCTATGAATATTCATTCATAAATTGTACCCAAATGTAGTTCTATATTCAACCAACAAGCATTTATTAAATTCATACTGTATTCCAAGACACCGTTTAAGGCACTCTATTTAAGGTAGGTGAAAGGGGTATCGATAAAGACAAAAATGAAACAGTTCCTGCCCTTAAGGAGTTTGGGTTTTAGAGGGGAGACAGTGTAAAAACACCTCCTTGGCATATGGGACTATTTGAGTTTTGCCTTTGTATCCCAGCACTTAGCCCAGTGCCCAGCACATAGTTGTGACTTAATAAACGTGCTTGTTGAAGGCTATGTGATGTGAGTACATTAAAGGCCTCTTTGGCAGGGGAAGGCACTAAGCTGGCCCATGATGAGGAAAGGTCTCATTTACAAGGTAGTGCTTGAGCCATGCTTTGAAAGAAGCTAGAGATTCTAAGAGGCAGAAGTGAAGAGGATGTACATCCCAGGCATTGGAGACAGCCAGCCTCTGCAAGGGCATAGAGATGGAAAATGGGGTTGTCATGTCTGAGCAACAGCAGAAAGAAGAAAAATCACTGGTTTGATTGGATTGTAGAGTGTGTGAAGGGGAGTAATTTATGATAAACCTGGAAAGGTTAGTTGAATAAAAGTTGTAAAGAGCTTTAAATTCCAAGCAGAGGAGCTTGTAGTTGATTCTAGAGGTAACTGAGGATCCAGTAGAGTTTTTTGACAAGACCAGTAATGTTAGACATATATGGTGTGGAGCTAGGATTGGAGAGGAGAGAGGCTTGAATCAGGGAGACCAAGTAGGTGACTAATGCAATCGTCATAGGTGATAAGGGCCTGATGACTTTGTGAATGGAGATAATAGAATGTGGCTAAATTACTTGAAAAAATGGTCTACAATTTATTTCCCCACTTCCTCTCCTCTGTCTTCTAAACCCTCTACATTCTGGCTTCCAACTTCATCATTCAACTGAAACTGCTCTCACAAAAATTACCAGTGATCTCTTAATTGCCAAAACTAATGTCCTTTTCTCAAACCTCGATCTTCTTGACACTGTTGATCACTCTCTTCTCTTGGGTACTGTCTCCTTTCTAGGCTTTCAAGACGATGCCATCTTCTGGTTTTCCTCCTACTTGTCTGGCTACTCCTTCTCGGTCCCCTATGCTGGATCTTCCTCCAGTTTGCTCCTGCTAATTGTGAGTGCCCCTTAAGGGTCTGTTCTGGGGCACTGTTCTCTACACTAACACTTGGTGATCTCATCAACTCCCTTAGGTTCAACGGTCATCTCTAAGCCCATGATTTCTAGATCAATAGCCCTAATCTCTCTCCTAATTTCTAATCACCAATAGTACACTATTATGAGATAGTTCAAACTGAGTATCTTCTAGACATACCAGTAAGTCCAAAACAGACTGATTATCTTTTCTCTTCCCAGCTTTCCTTACTGTCCATGGCACCACTGTGGTGTAATCATGGAGTCCTCATTTGCACTTATCTCATACATCCATTCTGTTGCTAAATCCTGTCATTTCTATATTGATAACATCTCTCATGTATACCCCTTTCTCTCTTCTTAGCCACAACCCTGATGCAAGACTATTACAATATCCTTCTGCTTGGTTTCCTTGCCTCAAGCCCATCCTCAGCTACCAAAGTGATCTTCCTAAAGCAAAGGACTGACCACGCTACCACTTCCTCTCCTCCCCCCACCCCAACTCAATAAACTCTAGGAGCTCCTGTTGCCTCTAGGATCAGGTATAAGATCCTGTCTTTGGCTTTCAAAAATCTTTAAAATATTTCCAATATTTTCAATCTTTTTATAATTTGCTATCAGTTATGTTATGTACTTCAGTAACACTGGCCTGCTTATTCCTCTTACGTGACTCTGTCTCTCAACTTTGAACCTTTTCACCAAGTGTCCCTCATTCCTGGAATGTTTTTCATTCTCACCTCCACTTTCTGCTATCCTCGGCTTTCTTCACAGATCATATCCAGCCTTCTGCAAGAGGCCTTTCCCAGCTACTCCCTCCCACTGCCCCCCCATGCTTTCCTTCTGAGTTTACCATCAGTTTACACTGTATATATTTTGTATGTACATAGTTTACCTTTTGCCTTCTCCCTCAAAATAAGAGTTCTTTAAGGACAGAGACTGTTTTTGCTTTTCTTTGTATCTCTGCACATAGCTGGAGTAAGTAAGTACTTAATAAAATGCTTGTTGACTAATGCAGATATCCACAAAACTTGGCAGCTGATGTGATGAGAGCAAGTTGTAGGGGTAAATGAAGAGTTGAAAATAACTTGTAAGCCTAGGTGACTGGGAAGATGGTGGTGCCCTTGACAGAAGTAAGAAAGTTCAGAAATTCACACATAGATGAAAATGAAGAAACTTGTAAATCCCTGATTCTGTATTCTGTTTTTCCATTCATAGCGTATACCTGGGTAACTTTTAACCATATGGTAAAACATATCTAACATTCAGAACCACCAGTAACAAAAGATTTTTTTCTCTTTTGAGAATGATGTTTCCCATCATAATAGAATTTAAGCATGTTCTCCGTCTTGGTGAGGTAGCAGTGTATCTTTTGGACTGATGTGACCCTTTTTGGCATGGATTCCACACAGATTGGTGTCCTCAAACAGGTCAACATAGCTTTCTGCAAAGCATGTCTAAAAGGATGTATCCATTTTGAAGGCACGAGCAATTCCATGCACCATATGCTAGAAGGGTAGTTTTCATAGCAAGTTGTCTTCTGCTTATGAATAGACAACATATTACTAAAGAAAACCTGAGCAGAAGTTAAAAGATATTACCAAAGAATTGTATGACCTGTTTGCTTCTGTGGTACCCACACAATGTCAAGAGATCTAGAGAAAGTTCCATAGCATATTGAGTAGACATGTGGGAGATTTGCAGGAAGACATCGACAAGAAGGTATGGATGCTTCCTGGGTGCTTTACCACTGATGGATGATTTTTGGGTGGTTGGCTTAGTATGAGACATTCCATAAAACTTCTTCTTATACAGCTTATCCCCTTTTCTTTCAGCTTGGGCTCTTAGTGTGATCATCCTGGAAAGCAAAGGTGTAATAATGGTCTTCTCTTCCAGATTTTAGGTGGTGCTTACAGGATAATAGATTTAGAGCTGAAAAGGACCTTGTTTTTGTTCAGTCATTTCAGTTGTGACCAACTTTTCATGGCCCCATTTGGGATTTTCTTGGCAAAGATACTAGAGTGATTTACCATTTCCTTCTCTAGCTCACTTTACAGATGAGAGAACTGAAGCAAATGGGATTAAGTGACTTGCCCAGGGTCACAGAGCTAGTAAGTGTCTGAGGCCAGATTTGAATTCAGGAAGATGAGTCTTCCTGACTCCAGGCCTTAGACTCCAGACCCTTAGAGGTCATTTAGTCCAACCCCTTAATTTTACACGTGGTGAAAATGAGACTTAGATTAAGTATCTTGCCCAAGGTCATACAGTAGAAAGTGGCAAAATTTGTCCCTTGATAATCAGTACCTTGAAATGCATCTGATTTATATCTTATCCTAGTGCCAGTATGGAATCATCTGGTCAGATCTATGCCTCAGGAAAATTATTTTGGTAGCTGTATAAAGGATATGCATTGTAAAGGGATGAGATTGTAAGAGCAGGAAGACCATTTATTTAGGAGGCTGTTACAGGTAGGAGGTGATAATGACTTGAACCTAGGAATAATTAATGGCTCTGTGAGTAGAGAGAAAGAAGACAGAAGCAAACAGTGGAGTTGTGGAGATAGAATGTGCCAGCCTTGAGTTTGGGTAAAGGGGGAAGGAGGGTGGAGAGTCCAGATGAGATGGTTCCAAAGTTAGTTTAACAGTTAAATTAATGTTAGTGGGTAGTCTGAAGATTATGGATCCTTAGCATTCTGACACTGCCACTTCAGAAGCAGAGAAGAGCTGTAAATGGCTGAGGGGTGTGTTATATTTTTATCTGAAGAATGGTCTTTACGAAAAATTACTATTTGGAGGGGCAGCTAGGTGGCGCAGTGGATACAGCACGGGCCCTGGATTTAGGAGGACCTGAGTTCAAATCCAGCCTCAGACACATAACACTTACTAGCAGTGTGACCCTGGGCAAGTCACTTAATCCTATTGGCTAGCCAAAAAAAAAAAAATTACTATTTGGTGGCTAATTGTCTGGTGATGGGCCTTTTTGCATTTAGAATTTGGAATCATGTATTTATTTGTATGTGTCTTATATCCCATTTGTAGATAAGTTCTTTAGGGGTAGAAATTGCTTATTTTTTTTCTTTTATTTCTGTAGCATGTAGTACACAAGGCTTTCTTGTACATACATGTGATGAAGACATATTTGTGGAGTTAAATGAGAGACAGGCATTGTCACTGGGCCCATACACAAAGCCTTTTCAGCTTACTAAGACCTACTAGATATTTTATTCTGTCTTTGAGAAGGCTCAAAGCATTTACCTCTGTTTTTCAATGATATGTCAGAATTGAATTTTAGTGATTTAGCACATTTTTTTAAAAATTAATTTTTAATATACACAGTAGACTGAGTTGACAGTAGATTATCAGATTCATTTAAAAAAAAACCCAAAATACCGAACAACAGTGAGAATATTTTACTAATTTATTTATTAAACATAACAGTGGTTCTTTTATTAATTTGTTTCAAATCCCCGAATGAAGCAATTTATCACTAATGTCTAGCAGGCTCTATTTTTAAGTGGATCAGTTTTCACATACAGACTATATTGTAAGAAAAGTATTCTTTTAAAGTATTTATCCTGGAATAAATGCTATCAATACTTAATTCAACTTTACAAAAAACAGAGTTAATAATTAGTGGTCATTTTAAATTTGACATTTTCTAGAGAAGAAGAACCTATTCGCTATGGAAACATTATGTACGACAGAAGGGTTATACGAGGCAACACTTATGCTCTACATTCATTTCCACCGGTAAGTACACTTCGAATTTTGGATGATCTAACATTATTGTCCTTTGAAAATAAGTAAGTATTTAACAGTAATATATTATTTGTTGCCATGACAAATAAAATATTACCAATCATTCAAGAAATAGAAGTATATAAATTAACCACTTATTTATGATATTTTATATTTCTTATACCAAAAATAAATTTAAAATATTATAGGATTTTCTGAAACAGGTATAGTTCCTCAACTGAACCTGTGTAATGTAGCATTATTAGACATAGGTTCCCCCCCAAAGATTAGTAAAAATTTACATTTTTATTGTATATATTTTTGATAATTTATCCATGCCTAAATTTATTCATTTTAGATTGTAACATATCATTTTTTTCCCTATTTATTTATTTATTTAGTTACTTACTTACTTATAATTTATTTATTTTTAGTTTTCAACATTTACTTCCACAAGATTTTGAGTTCCAAATTTTCACCCCTTACCCCTCCCCCCACCCCAAGATGGCATGCATTCTGAATACCCCTTCCCCTAGTCTGCTTTCCCTGCTCTCTCTCCCCGCTTTCCCCTTCTATTTTCCTGTAGGGCAGGATAGATTTCTGTCCCCCGTTTCCTGTATTTCTTATTTCTCAGTTGCATGTTTTTAAAATTTTGGGTTCCAAATTTTCTCCCTTCCTCCCTCCCCACCCACCCTCATTGAAAAGGCAAGCAACTCAATATAGGCTATACTTGTGCAGTTATGCAAAACACTTCCATAATAGTCATGTTGTGAAAAACTAACTCTATTTCCCTTAATCCTATCCCGCCCCCCATTTATTTTATTCTTTCTTTTGACCCTGTCCCTCCTCAGAAGTGTTTGCTTCTGATTACCCCCTTTCCCAGTCGGCCCTCCTGTCTATCATTTCCCTGCTCCCTTGTCCCCTTCTCCCCCTATTTTCCTGTAGGGTAAGACAGATTTTCATACCCAGTTGAGTCTGTATGTTATTCCCTCCTTAAGTCAAATCCTATAAGAATAAGATTCACTCATTCTCTCTCACCTTCCCCTGTTTCTCTTCCACTGTAAGAGCCATTTCTTTTCTGTAAAACATATCATTTTAGGGGCAGCTAGGTGGTGCAGTGAATAGAGCTCTGGCCTTGGAGTCAGGAGGACCAGAGTTCAAATCCAGCTTCAGACACTTGATACTTACTAGCTGTGTGACCCTGGGCAAGTCACTTAACCCCATTGCCTAGCCACAAAAAAAAAAAAAACAACATATCATTTTAAATCATCTGCATAGATGTGATAATTGAAGCCATTGGAGGTAATGAAATTGCCAAAGGAGAGAGTATAGAAAGAGAAAAGATAACCAAGGGCAAAACCTTCTTTTAAGATGTGTGAGAAGGATTAAGGAGAAGTTTGCCAAATTATTACTGTTTAAGCCCTAGAGGAGATTCAAAATTGAAATAAGGCTTAGTTTCTGCTCTCATGGAGCTTATAGTCTGTTTAGTAGTGGAATGAAGACATAGGGCCTGTCATGGGCCCCTTAAAATAATATATAGCACATAGAGATTCAAAACAAAGTAAAATGTTAAGTTGGAAGTAAAATAAAAATAACTCCATTTTGTTTAGTTGCATTGTTTTAGAGAATGCTTTCGTAATAAATCTTATGCAGGTAGTATTCTCCCCATTTTACAGATGAAGAAGCTGAGGCTCAGCTTATATGACTTACAGAGTCAGTCAATCCAGACATTTATTAAGTGCTTTATTATGTATTGACTACTAGGTAGACCAAGAAAGGCAGAAACCATCCCTGCCTGCAAGGACCTCATATTCTAATGGGAGGGGCAGCAGGTAAATAATTAAGTACATGTAAGATACAGACTAGATGAAAGTTGATCTCAGAGATGAAAACATTAGCAGCTGAAGAGCCAGGGAAAGGCCTCCTGAAAAAGTCAGGATTTGATCTGAGGCTTAGGAGCCATAGAAACTAAGAGGTGGAGGTGAAATGAAAAGCATTCCAGGTATGAAGTACCAAAACAAGATGGGGTAGCCTTTGTGAGGAACAAGGAAGTCAGTGTTACTGAATGGGAAGAGGGGGTGCGTGTGTGTGTGTGTGTGTGTGTGTGTGTGTGTGTGTGTGTGTGTGTGTGTGTGTGTGTAGAGGGTGGGGGGAGGGGCTAAAAGTGTAAACAAGCTTGAAAGATCAGAAGGGGCCAGGATGTAGAGAACCACCAAAGCCTGGCATTAGAGCATTGGAGGTAATAAGTAGCCATGGAGTTCATCACGCAGGGGGTCAGATGTGTTCAGACCTGTACATTAAGAAAATCATTTTGGCAGCAGGCATGGCTGATGAGTTGGAGTGGTGAGAGAATCGAGCCTGGAAGATCAGGTAGAAGGCTGTTGTGTTACCTTTAATGGAAGAGAAGATTTTCAAGCATTTGTGATGAAAAGTCCTGAGCTGAGGAGGAGCCTAAAGCACAGACACAAATCCAGAAAAACCTAGAAAGGCAAATTCATTTGAGCAACTGAAGGAAGCTGTGTGAGGATGTAGTACTAACATTCTAATGGGGAGGGGGAGAAAAGAAACAAGTGTTCCTTCAGAGCCTTGGTATCTTCAAAAGGGTATCAAGGGAAATAAAAAAAGAAAAACAGAGGTTCTGATGGGGTATTGGTTCTGTTCTGAGAGTTTAAGAGGAGAAAGAAAAGAGAGAGTAAAAAGAGGTGTATGCTAGTATAGAAAGGAAAATGAAAGGGTTCTCGTTAAATATGTGAACGTCTCATATTTGGAGTGTGAGAAAAGAACATACAAACGTGAAAGAAGAGGGAGAGTGGACATCAGGAGGATTGAAAACACATGTATGTACAACAGACAGTTTGGTAAAAGAATGCAATAAACTCAACAGGAAAACAGATGGGGTGTTTAAGAGGGAGGATAATATCAAGGAGAAAAGAGTCACAAGCAAAACAAACTTAATTATCCTAAAGGGAAAAAAAAACAGCAAAGAACTAGGATCTCAGGAGGTTAGGTTGCCTTAGATCACCTTTTAGACAATCGGGGAATGGCTACATAAACTGTGGTATATGGACATAATGGAATATTATCTCACCATAAGAAATGATGCAAGAGACCATGGTAGTTTGAATTGATGTAAAGTGAAGTGAGCAGAACCAAGATAAGTTTATACAAAGACAACAACATAGAGAAAAACATCTTTGAAAGACTTAAGAACTGATCAGCCATGTTTTCAGAGAATCTATGGTGAAACATGTTACTCACTTGTTGGCAGAGGTGTGAAGGGCACAAGGTGCAGAAACAGACCGAGGCAGCTGGGTAGAGTGGTTCCTAGAGCACTGAACTTGGAGTCATAAAGACCTGAGTGCCAATTTTGCCATAGACACTTTAGCTGTATGACCTGGGCTAGTCACCTAAACTGTACCACCATTTCCTCATCTGCAAAATGAGGATAATAGTACCTCACAGTATTGTGAGGATAAAATAAGATAACATGTCAAGTGCTTTTCAAATCTTAACTCACCATATAAATGCTAGCTATCATTATTTTGTTTGAATATGCTTAATTGTTCCAAGGGTTGTTTTTTTTTCCTCCTTTCTTTCTTTTGGTTAATTGGGGATGCAGAGGAGGGGGTAAGAAAAGAGTTAGTGATATCCCAAAAAAGAGGCCCATTAAAACATTTTTAAAGGCACAGAAGAGAACCGAAGGAACCACAGATAAACACGACAATACTGAAAGTAACATGAAGAATTTATTATATACTTTTTGGGAAAAACAAGAGGTTTGAAATGGAGATTCATGGTTTTATTTAGAATCCTCTTTTTGTCTTCTGCTACTTGTGGAAATGCTTTTTTTTTTGGTATTTAAGTTCATAATAAAAGATATATAAATTATATAAATATATAAAATATAAAATAAAATTTAGCAGACTGCCACTGAAAAAGACTGTTACAGTAATTCAAGTGTGGGAGATGGGAGATGCTAAGGACTTGAACTAGAGTGGTGGCTGTTTGAATGCAAAGAAGAGGATTTAGAGAAGAGTATAGGAAATTTGGCAATGGATTGTATAGGTGGGGTGATAGTTGAGGAGTCAAAGATGATTCTGAAGTGAAGCTGAGTGACTGAAAGAATGGGGATACTCACAACAGTGGCATACTCAGCAGTCATAGAAAGTTGAGTAGAGGGGAGAGAGTTTGGGTGGAGGAGGAAGATGATGACTTCTGTTTTCTACATAATGAGTTTGAAATGTCTATAGGACATCCAGTTCAAAAGGTCTGGTAGGCAGTTGATGATTCAAACTTGGGAGAGAGACTAGGGCTGATCATATAGATATGGAAATCATTTTACATAGACACAATAATTGAGCCCACTGGAGCTGATAAGGTCATCAAACCAGTTAGTATGAGAAGAAAAAAGGGTCCAGGACAGACCTTTGAGGGAAACCCACAGTTAGTGGTCATGACATGAATGAAGAGCCAGCAAAGGATACTGAGAAACAGTTGGATTGGGAGAAGAACCAAGAAAGATCAGTGTCACAGACATCTAGAGAGGAGAGCATGTCTTGGTAAAAAGCCCCTGAAAATCAAAGAGTTGGGCTAGATGGCTTCCAAGGTTCCTTCGAGCTCTAAATATGTCATCCAGTGATTAAAAAAAATCATTGTGCATTCAGCAGAAGGAAAGAACTCTAATCATCTCTTCAAAAAAACACAGGTATGCAGAGATTCAACATATAAATTGATCAGACAGAAGAAAGTTAAGTGCTTTCAGATAACAGACTAAAAAATGTGGCTAGACTTGAAGAAGGCCCTGAGTTGTATATTTTTGTTTGTTTGATTTTCTGAGAGACTTCAAGAAAGCAAAGAAAGTATCAAAGGCTAAAGAATCTAAGAAGCAAAAGACATAGAAGTGAATAATATTTCATGGGGGAAATCTCCATTATTAAATCTGTATTGTTGGTAGCTGGATCATATAAAGAAACTATTCCCAGGTGGAGACAGAAGAGGGAGAGTCAGGAACA